CCCATGCCTCATGCGCTGTTTTCAATTTATAAAATGTCGTTGGCGACGTTCAGTATTCATCAGTATTTGTTTTCAATCGCAGAGTAATCTTCGCTCCGCAGCTGCCGGGAGACAAAATTGCTCCTCGCTCGCCTCCTACTTTTATAAAACGGTGCATATTTGAAGTCATAATAACGCCTTTCTTCAACAGATAAAAAACCAGGTATAAAATGGATTTCCATTTGAGATCAAGGAGTTAATACTGCAGAGACAGCGCCTTGCGGACTGCTACAGGATGTTCTTAGTGAGTGCCATTAACTAGAAGGGGAGCAAAAACGTGGAGTCGCGTAACCCCGATGTGTCAGCGACGTTGCGGCGGTACGCTGGCGTTGCGGCGTTGCGGCCCTGGCTAATGGCGCGCATATCTCACCCGCTCCTTGTTCTTACTCAAACCCAACCTCCACGTAAATAATTATCATGACTTTTTGTGTGAAATCCTTTTTTACCTTCGTTTATTTATTGTTCGATAAAGCAAGTAACGCTTTCTAAAGTGACCCATGTCTATCTTCTTTCCCTTTTAACACGTACCAAAATCCACTTTTGTAAGTAATTAAAATAACTAGAATTTACATCTTACTTCTGGATTGGTGTAATAACTGTTGGGTTATTGACTTTTGTATGTTTTCTTTATATGCGAGTGCGGACCGCGGTTGGGCGCCCCTGCCCATCGCTAATTTCTTTATTATAAGATAACTTTTTTCCATTCCATTGTTTAAGCATTGTGTAAACTTTTTATTACAAATGTCTGAACGTATCATTTATCTTTGTTTTATGTTTCATGAAGATACATTTATAAATCACTCAATTTTAGTAATTCAAAAAAATCTTAATTCAAATCACAAATATATGCTTAAAACACCAGTTTATGCATATAACTTAATATAAAATTGAAGAAGATTTTCAAGAAGGTTATCAATTTGCCTGTATTTTATGTGTGCCACCACATAACTCCACTCCTCGTGATCAGATTTCACTAATTCTTTTTTAACGACAAAGGTTCAAAGTCTTGCGTAGGTAGGCCCGCCTCTGAGCCAGTAGATAGGATATGAAAAAGATCTGTTCCTGACACAAATGCAGACGCGGCAACTGATAACGCTTATCATTACGACTTCAATGAATTCCTTACGTCCTCCGCTTACGTTTGTCATTTTGAATTCATAACAGAAAAAATTGACATAATATCTTCCATAGTTATATTTCTCAACCAATCCTGATGTTGAGACACAAACAGACATAAAGATTATTAAAATTGTTAGTCGTTTCTTTACGTGTTTTTGTATACTGAATAATCCCGCGCTTTACTACGATCCCACCTGATGTTAAGTGTGGATGTGGTCTAAAGATCGTATGCGATACCTTAGTAAATACCTATCACTCTACACTTAAAATGGTGATTTAAATTGCACACTCTAGGTGTGAAATTTATTAAAGGAGGTTCAAAAAGAATGTTTATATTTTGGTTTAAAAAATATATGCTAGAAGTAATGACGTTCGGATTCCTTCCATAACGTTCGTGTTGAAAATATTTTTTCAATTACTTAAATGTTGGCCGTCTCTTTTTGTCGAACTTAATGAAATTCCGATAGCCTAATAAATATGGTCGTTAGAGCCTTTTATGAGATCGCTTAATGAGAATCTACAGCTTTTTCGTTTTAAATTAACGCATCTCGAATCACTCAGAATACGTTTTATTACTTACTTCGAAGCCGTATTAGTCTTTGCGGAAAATTCGGAAACAATTTTGGATTATTTATAATAAAAAAAACTTACGAATAGCGAAATCTTTGCTATCTTATATTACAGATACACTTGTAAAAATACATCGTCATCTCTCTCATTCTATGAAAAAATAACAGAAAGCTGTTTTTAACTTATACGACAGTGGAAAATGTGTAGCATGTATTAGAGACAAGACGACATACTCTTGACGACAGAGGGCGTGATTAAAATGTCGCACACCTGAGTCTTGACGTCATATTTCCGGGAAATATTCGTCAATATTAGACAACGTTGATCTACTTTTTATAATAAAGAATAAAAGTTTAGTTTATTTTGTAATAACAACGAGTAAAAATGAGATTAATCGATTAATAACAAAATATTAGTAAACACTTAAACTGAGATAAGTATAAGAAACAATGTTACGTATAATTATTCTGGAAAAATCACTACCATATTGTCATTATTACAAATATATTACCGGCTTATAAAGAGTGTATTAATTACCAAAGAGATGTATGTATTATACATTATTAAGTATTAAACAAATAGCATGAAATTGAAAAGACAAAAGATAGACATTTTTCTATTTGCATTGCATCTTAAGGTCGTAGTGAGTTGTCTCATTTCTCCGAAGTCGCGGCACAAAGCGAGCGCCGATGGAAAGCAAATAATAATAAATATAAACTCGGCACGACTCGACGAGTTGATAGAAATAAAAGGCGCATTTAATAATTTCTTATGCGAATACACTAATCTTATGTTACTTCTTACTAATATTATAAATGCGAATATTTAAATGGATGGATGGATAGATGTTCATGCATTGATGAAATTCGACATATAGATGTAGAACATAATCTGGAAGAACACATAGGCTAATAATTAAGTTTTCTTTTAATTTTGCCCGGACAGAGTCGCGGGCGACAGCTAGTATATAGTATAATACTTTAAATGATTGTATTTTGCACAGAATAATTGATGAATTTAAAAAATACCTTTAGTCATAAACATAAAGATTTTATGATATTTCAGTACCGTATCTTAAAGTAAATCTTAATATTTGCCAAGTAAATTCTCGAATAAAAAATGTTCATATAACCTCGGACCTTTACCATAAAGGATTGGTAAATCGTAGATTCATATATGCATTGTTGAATTTTACCATATTCTAAAAATGCGATTTCTTAAAAAAAATTAAGACTCATTTATTTATCGAGAAATGATTTTTCTTTAATTTTGACATCTTGTTTCTTTTTATCATGAAATGTGAATATTAACAATGTAACGGTTACGATTAACGTCGATTAAGCGAGCAATCGTAGCGACGTAACTGCCACAGATTATAGCTGCGATTATCCAAAGCCAGCTGCGGTACATAAATTAATAATATCAGATAGTTCAGTAAACTAATTAAATACAATATTGTATTTATTACTTCTTGAATTTACGCCTCGATTGTAATATATTTACAATGTTATTGTTTAATTTTACAATTGTCTATTTCAAAAAGACTTTTATTCTCTAAAATATTGAACTGCAATAAAATATTCAATCGTATTTTTTACATTTGAATTCAACAAATTAATTTTATTATTATTTGTTATTATCTAGTACCAGCTTTCTCTAACATGTTAGCAAATTTATTTCATTCAACATTACTAATAAAAAAGCTATTGTTTAATGTAAAATCTCTAAACTAAGTTATTGAAATTTATTACATTTACAAAACCGCACTTTACGTTGATACGCTTTCATATTTGTAGTGAACTGAAAATTATGAAAATTCTCGAGTAGACCGGCAGCGGCATCTGCATGGAGGAGCAAAACAAGTGCTATTAAAAATTCCACCAACCCCTCCCCTCTCTCAACCCCCTCGCAACTTGCGCGCAAACCCCGCGGCTAAGATGTTATCTCGAAATTATGCCATCGCCTTAGACTAAGTTTTTTAAGCTATATAAACTTAGAGCCAACAAGTTTAATAACATCGTAATAAAGTATTATAAACAATGCAAAATTCACACGTGACGTAATCCACTGCATATACTCTATAGATTTGAATTTTATCGAATTAAAAAGTCATTAATCTTGTAATCACAAGCATTGAGTACCTATAGACCGTTTTAACATTTAAAGCGGGAAATTTATCAAATTTACGAACGGCAAATGAAACATCCAAAAAATACTTTTTGCGAACTTTCCAAAATGTAATGGAAAAAGTTGTCTTGTTTTACAGAAACAGAACAGTGGGAGGCCTCACTTTAACCTACGAGATGTATACGTTTGTTGAATACAAACAGTATATATATTTAAATGATCACCGCAGTTCGACAGTTTTTGTTGACGACAGTTTAATTAATTATTTAACAAGGATATGCCAAGAATGCCGAAATATTACTGGCCCATTTCGATTTAATATTATAGATAAATAATATTTTATTACATAAAAGTAAATATGCATTTAAATATAGATAAACTTAAATAAAGGAAAAAAATATAACAATAAACGAAGCAGACGAAGTACAATGTTGGGGTAATAAACCTCATATTTGAACATCTGGCAACGCCCGCCTCAATATCTTACCGAGCAAATTTCCCCGCATCGGAGTCGACGCGTTTTATTCTTCTTCCAATTTCCCGCAGCCACCGGCTCGTACCGGCTCGTACCGATTCGAAGCGTATCGTACCAGATCGTACCGGATCAGGGCGCCCGCATTTATTAATATTTGTTTTCAATTACAGAGTGATCTCGCTCCCGCAGTCGCAACTAACAGAAAAACTCTCATGTCGCGAGAAATGAAGATCACTCATTGGTTACAAATGTTACCTATAGATTCCAAAAGCGACTATCTTTGCGTCTTAATATTCCGTAAATGCATGTAATTAAATTGTAATGTGGACGTTATATCAGTAAATTGTTAGCAAAACTATTCAGATATTCATCACCACAAATAGAACAATGCATGAAAAATAAACATTTTTAATCTTACATAAAAGTAGAAGAAATATTTTGGTAGACGTTTGAAATTTCAATCGTGGGGTGACATTGTTCCCTCAGACAACAATGGGTATGATTTTGACTCGAGTCTGCTACAACAATTCACTCAGCGACGCCCGAAAAGAAAAGAATTAATGGATTGAATAAAAAATCAGATGCTTCCAAAGATAGTTACTTAAAAACTCCAAGTCTTAGAGTCAAATTAAATACCAAGCTTATTTTCTCTATTAAGAAAAATACTAAATCACATTACACATATATTTATTTATTAATTTAAAATACAAAATAATAAATTAAAAATAAAAACTTACTTTTGTATATGCACCGCACCGCTTTACTAATTATATACGTATACACGTGTACATATTATAATAAAAAAACAATGTCAGTTTCCAATCAAATCTGAGATTTCACACTACACATGCTATATCGGTGATTATTAACTGTCCATTCATAAAACATTATCACATCAATGTTAAAAAACAAAATCAAATGAATTTAATCATCCCGAAGCCGTGGGACAAGTATAAGAAGTGGTGCATAATCTGGTAGTTGGGCTGAAGACGGATGTGGTGGGGCAGGTGTACTCGTACTGTGAGTAGGTGCCTGTAGTGGTGAGCACACACAGGTAGTAGGTCTGACACGTGGTATCCGCGCTGTTAGCGAACCTGCCCGCCGCCGTGCACGTGAAGGCACACACATAGTTCACCTCGCATAGAGTTGTATTAGGATTGTAGAAGGACCCGGTCGGACAGGTTAGCGTTGTCTCAAGGAATGTGCCGTTGATTTGGACGCACTGGATATAGGAGGAGCAATTGGTCGAACTAGGATCAGCGACAAAGCCGTCAGTGGTGCAAACGGCGGAGCTCGTTGTGTTGGTTGTAGTGGTATTTGTGGTAGTACCGTTGCAGGTGTAGGTGGTGGTGCATCTTGCAGTAGTGGGGTTGAAGAGACTGGTGGTGGGGCAGACATAGTTGTAGCCGATGTAGCTTGTGTTGGCGGTCACCAGCACGCAGAGAGTGTAGTTCTTACAAGTGGAGTCCGCGGGGTCCGCGAACCTGCCCGCTGCCGTGCAGGTGACTGCGCCATGGACAGTCCAGGCCACTGACAGTACCTTAAAATACAGATTATTTAATGCAAAGAAATATAATACATAGTCAAGAAATCAGTTAGAAACAAATTAGATAAACAGATGAAGAAAAACTTAATAAATATATGTCAGATTTCGATTTTTCTTAAACTTTATTTAACATACTTACAATGAATGCCTTGATTATCAATTTTCCGTACATGTTTTCGGGTTTCTTAGAACTTTCTGATCAAACATTTGGAACGCCGTGACATTTTATACCAGGCGAAGCAATAAAGTGGATTGTATCAATAAAGAATGGTTAAGATAATCCGCCTTCTCTGTTTGCTATATTAATGCAACGAAGTTAACATGCACCAACACACATCAATGTTACTATATTGATTAAATCAAAGAATGAATTAATATCGTACAAATTATGTTAATATAGATGATGATGACGATAGATCAGTCTTTAAAAAGATCCTGGATTCTTAACGAGATTAATAGTCGACGTAGTTGTAAAGAACACTTCAGCCTGTACTATTGTGTTCCTAAATTTTAAAATTCTGTTTATATTGTCTATTACATTCCATAGAGTCAAGAATGTGTCTAAAGAAATGTTATTGTGTACATGAGAATATACACGTAGAGCTTTATTTACAAAAAAGTGTCCATTATCTGTTAGTCAGAGTGAAGGTTTACGAGGCCATGATTACCTTTTCCATTGAAGATATAAAATGTCAATGTTGTAAATGCGAGTCATGTTTAACAATGGATTTCTTGACTATAGAACGTCATAAACTGATAGCGAACTGATGTAATGTGATCAAGGAAAAGTAAATCATTTCAAAGTTATCAAAACAAACCAAAATGCCTGAGTACACGGTACATTAGACCACATTTGGATTGTCATATTTTTTGCATAAAAATGTGTTGATTAATGCTTATTATAGACTCAGGATCTGTCCTGGGAGCTGCTGCAGGCTGCAGTAATAAATACAACAGACAACTGCGACACAATTTACTACTTTTCGCAAACACAAATGTGCTATAAATTGAAGCACCTTAGCCAATGTATCAGCTACAATGGAACTGTTAGCGACGCTCCATACTATTTGGATCGTTAGCAATTCTAATGCGTTCCCCATCTACCATACCAAAATGAACTCTATATAGATCGATGTAAGACTTAAAATAAAATAAGGGGAAATTATTCCGAAGTATTTAAGCAGAAAGAAAGAACTGTCCCGTTAAACTGAACTTCCATAGCTATAGGAAGTTATTTAATGTAGAAGGACGTCGGATAATAAATCTCAGCACATTTAATCTCAAAGAATTTGTTTTAATAATTCTCCTTCGCCAGTTTCAGATTTTCTGTTTTCTGGAATAACTTTGTTACGAGAGTATTTTAAAATCTTATATAACAGAGATATTGAGCTAAATTATTGTATTACTATATATTCTCTTAAAAAAAAGACTAGTTTTTTCAAACGAAAAATTCGAGATAACGATAATAATTGTCATCTAAATTTTATGAATTTTTCGATTTAATATCAAGAATCGAAAATTGAGTTTGGTGTTGAAATAAAACACTTTCGTGTGAAGTCGTGTCTAGTTAATCAGAAGAAATGGTGTGACTGCGACATCGTGTAACAATATTATCGGATATTCTGAGGAATAATATCTGACCCTCGTCCAACCCGCGATATTGGAATCGGGATACACAAACATGTTTTATTTAATTCCATACTCGCTCTTAATAATGTTGGAGTTTGTAATCTGCTGACATGTGCACTGGCTGGTTTTAGTCTGGTTTTAGTTTATGAAAAAAGGTGTACATCTGTCATACGTAAAATATTTTTTCATTGTCTTTCATAAATATATTTTCCCAAGTAAACTTGTATTATTCATCAGGTTATGGGCCCAGCCCAGCACAAAACCTAGTAAATATAAAACGTTTTTATAATTATGGCTCAGTCGGTGCGAATAGAGTTACTGGACAAAGATAATTATGAAACGTGGAAAATACAAGTACAAGCATTGTTAACGAAAACGGAAGGTTGGCAATACGTTAGTGGAAGAAAGATAAGACCTTGTTTCACACCAGGAAATAAAAAATTGACAGATGAATGGTTAGCAGCAGACGAAAAGGCGAAGGCAGATTTGATTTTATCAATTAGTCCGAGTGAGTTAAAGCACGTAAGAGGGTGCGTGACTGCACGGGATGTGTGGTTGAAACTCGAGTCTATATATGCATCAAAGGGACCTGCTCGTAAAGCAATTTTGTTAAAGCAGTTAACTTTACATCGCATGCAAGAGGGCAAGGATGTGCGTGAGCATATTTCAAAATTCGTGGACGCTGTAGACAAACTCAATGACATCGGAATCGAAATACATAAGAATTTGTTGTCAATATTGTTATTATATAGTTTACCAGCGAGTTACGACAATTTTAGATGCGCTATGGAATCTCGCGACGATTTACCTGCGGTAGAAATATTAAAGATAAAAATTTTGGAAGAGGATAGCTCGAGGCGACAGAATTATAATAATGAAATACAAGGAGCTATGTATGCGAATAAAAATGGGCAGAAAAATAAGTATTACAAGACCAAGACTGGAATTAAGTCTTTCAAGAACGACAATAATGTATCTAATTCCGGTGGTAAATTCAAGTACAAATGTTTTAAATGCCACAACTATGGTCACAAAGCGAGTGATTGCAAAGTAAAGAAGATAAGTCAAGAGTTAGGATGTGTAACTGAAGAAAGAGACAATTATGAAATGTTTAATTGTAGTGATTTAACAAAAAATTCAACATGTAATTCTTTTATTTTAGATAGTGGGTGCACATCTCATCTCTGTAAAGATCCTGAAATTTTTGGTAAAGGGGTTTTGCCGTATAATGCGAAATTGAACTTAGCTAGTAATCTGTCGACAGATGTCAAAGGTAAGGGTGATATTTATTTCGTAGCTTCAAATGATCAAGACAAGCGTAAAATTATGCTTCGCGATACTTTGTACGTTCCCAATTTAAGAAGTAATTTAATTTCAGTTGCCAAAATTACTGACAATGGTCATAATGTTCTTTTTAAACGTGACGTTGCTTATGTCACTGATAACAAGGGAATTGTCAAAATGACAGCCGATCGTGTGGGTAACTTATACAGAGTGAGAGAAGTAAAGAATAGAATGAACGACGCATTAGTTGCTATGAATGTGGATATACGTTTGTGGCATGAGCGTATGGGTCATTTGAATGCACGAGATCTTGTGAAATTACTGAATACTTACGGATTTGATGTTAAGACAGAGGATATGAATGTATTATATGACTGTGAAACATGTACGAAGGGAAAAATGACTACACTACCGTTCTTGAAGATGAGAGGCCCATGTAACACCAAATTAATGATTGTCCATTCGGACGTGGTTGGACCAATGAGAACCGAATCTCTAGGTGGAGCAAAATACTTTGTCACTTTTATAGATGACAGTACACGTTGGTGCGAAGTGTACTTGCTTAGTAAGAAAAGTAAAGTATTGGACGCGTTTAAATCGTATAAAACTTTTGTTGAAAAACAATCTGGTATGAAAATTAAAGCTCTTCAGTCTGACAACGGTGGCGAATACTGCAACAAAGAATTCGATGATTTTCTAAGAACCGAAGGAATCCAACGTCGTTTGACGGTAGCACATACACCTCAAATGAACTCTGTGAGTGAACGTATGAATCGTACTCTTACTGAGATGGCTAGATGTATGTTATTGTCTTCGGGACTGTCTAAATGTTTTTGGGCTGATGCTGTGGCAACTGCCTGTCATATTAGAAATCGTTGCCCGACTAATACTTTTAATGGAGATACTCCGTATAACATGTGGTATGGAGAACCAGCCAACATTGAGTACATGCGATGTTTTGGTTCTAAATGTTTTGTTTTAGACAAGACGCCCAATAAAGATAAGTTCGTCGCGCGTGCTCGAGAAGGCATAATGGTAGGATACCCACGAACTTCTAAAGGATATCGAATATGGATACCAGGTGAACATAAAGTTGTTATTGCACGAGATGTGAAATTTCAAGAGAATCATATTACCAAAATCAATGAAATTTGCGGAATTAAAAACAGCAATGTAGATAGAAATGAGATTATCGAAAAGGATAAGAAATTAGATAATGAATCTATCATTGATGTAGTATTTAATAAAGATACGAGATGTGATGATATTGAAATAGTACAAGAAAATAACATAAATGATAATAACGATAATGGCGATGCAAGTGAAAATGCAATTGGTGGAGCAAATGAGGATATAACAAGGCAGATAATATTAAAGAGAATGCCTGGAAGACCGAAAATACAAAGAGGTCAACGTGGAAGGCCTAAGAAGTTATATAATGTTAGAGAAACCAATCAAGAACTTAATCAAAATGAGATGACAGAAAATACAACAACGCAATGTAATCAAGAAGATAGTGAGAGGCTTTATGAAAATGAACATTTTGCTGGAGCTATAGAAATATCTATAGATGAAGCTTTATCGGGTGATGAACGCGAAGGCTGGATGGAAGCTATTTCGTCAGAGGTTCAGAGTTTGATTAAAAATAATACTTTTGATATTGTTTTGAAGCCCGACAACTGTGATGTTGTAGGATGTCGCTATGTTTTAACAAAGAAACAGAACATTGATGGTACTGAAAAGAAAAAGGCAAGACTTGTAGCCAAAGGTTATAACCAACGATATGGAGTAAATTATTTCCAAACGTACGCTCCGGTAGCTAGACTTCAAACTGTAAGGTTATTGTGTGCTCTTGCTGCAGAATTTGATATGGAAATTCATCAAATGGATATTAACACAGCGTACTTAAATGGAATGCTTGATGAGGAAATTTATATGAGGATTCCAGAATATTTAGAGAAAACTTTAAAATATATAATAGAAAATGATAGTATAGATGAAAATATTGTGATGCGGGCAAAAAGGATGTTGAAGGATCTACAAGGCGGTGGTAATATATGTATACTGAAAAGGTCATTGTATGGATTAAAACAATCCGGACGACAGTGGTACATACGTTTAAATGAAAAATTAGAAAAAATGGGAATGAAACCTACACTTAATGAACCGTGTTTATATTATAAGAAAAATGAAGATGGTCAATTACTTCTAGTGACTATATATGTTGATGATATTCTTGTAAGCTGTAAAGATAAGCAATGGATTCTACAGTTTAAAAGGGAGTTAGCAAAAGATTTCGACTTAA